GGGGAATACAGTTTGAGAGTATGCAAAGTAAAGAGAAGCGCATCCACACAATAATGGTCATTTTGTGCAGGGACAAAATTGGGACAGACAGAAATAACAGATAAATGGAAAAGAAGGAGAAGGGGAAACATCTGGACAAACAGAAATAACAGATGAATAGAAAAGAAGTAGGACCTACCGGTGGAGTCCTCCAACCACAAGTAGACCCTCAAACAAAATCCAAAAATAGCACAGAGGGAGTTCGGGCTCCAAAAGAAGGCAGAGTTTCAAGAAAAATCTTTCTAAGGGTCTTGGCAGATGAGGTACAATTGTCCTGCAGTAAATTCTGCGCTGAGAAAGTGTTGCTTACTTTTGTGTGGCAGCCACAAAGGGCGACATTTAACGCTACTGTTCAGTTCAACATGATCGATCGGAGAGTCCGGGTAGCTTTGGTCATGGTAGAAATATGGTCGTGTTGAATGAGAAGCGAGAAAAAACACAACTGAAGGAATTCGCCGGCAATAATTACATGTCGTGTGTCCGCGTCCCTTGGTCTGTGGGCTTCACTAAAATGTTGATGTGTCGCAGCGTAGTAGAATGTGGGCGACTGTTGATGTGTCGCAGCGTAGTAGAATGTGGGTGACACACGCCAGGACTGACAATAACGCCTGTCGCTCGTGTGACCGCTCTCATTGTCTTCAGTGTATCACTAGACTGTGCAGTAATTCCTGCTGCGTTTTTTACATCTAGTCTGAAAAGGCCCTAAGGGCACGTGCGGACAAAAAACCGCGAGCCTGATCCCGTCACGGTGCGGTTATACGCGAGTAGCTCGGGTGTGCACACCAAATGCTAGCCCGCGGCTGGATGAAAGCTTGGCTGTACTGTTCACACCAAAAGCCACGTCCTCAAACTAATACTAGAAATACCGAGCCATGTATTTGCTAGAAGTTTGCAGAGAGTGCTACATAATGTGTAAGCCTACATCTGTTCAGTATTGAAAAACAAATGGCCAGCACTCCAGATGAACGGCATGCTTGTGGGATGTTACATTTGTTGGAACAATCAGTGTACCTGACACATAGATCTACTTTGCTTTTTGATAACGAGAGGAAATGGTGGGTTTATCCCATTAATACCAAATGAGAAGCATGTGGAGAATTTTAGCTTTTTTTCTCCTAAGCAACATCTCTGTTCATAAAATCTTTTGTTTTGTTTCCTCCTCAAAGTTGGGCATTCTTGAAGCTGTGAAATAAACCCCAGTGTTCTGTTGCCGTTCAGGATGTTGGCTGAATTTCAGTGCGTGGAAGTGGAAAATATGATCAAAGATTTCTTTGGTATGATTCGCGCGACCCGGTACGCCTATTTTTAGATCTGATTTCGGCGTGAAAATCTGGTTCACGGCAAGGCTCGATTTGAGCGACGATGAACACCCAGATATTTTACCGTCACACCAAGCAGTTTGCGGGCATCCGGAGCGAGCCCACGGCTTTTTGGTGTGCACACCTAATGGTAATAAAGAGACCATTTCGCGGGGTAGCTTCAGCTCTGCTCGCGGCTTATGGTTTGCGCGCACTGCGCACGCTTGTAAAATGAAACTGCTCTGAGCAGGGTTGTCAGATTTATTTCTGGTGTGGGGGCCAAAAGACGGGCGATTTTGAAGCCAAATTAGATAGTTTTGGAGCCAAATTTTAATATTTCTGCAAATATGTAGAATTTCGTCTTTAATAATAGATTTCTAACAATAATAGATAGCACTTGTTCAGAGAAACTGTCCGCTCAACAGCAAGTTCTATGCACTTCACAATCTATTTTATTACCCCAGCAGACATGATAGCATTCTAAAACAATTTCAACCGCCCGGGAAGCATACAGTGCAGGCTTCCATCTTATAGGTGGCAAAACATTAACTAACTGACAATTCAAGACCTTTCGCTGTCTATGACCCATTCCCATCTGAGTGAAGAAAAGAAAATTCATATAAAGTGCCTTTCCCAAGGACACAGCGTTGTGATTCGAGCCTACGACAATACGATTGCGAGTCTGAGATCATATAACCTCCATTAAGTCAACATTGTCACACGGGGGCATACTTTAAAAAAATAGTTTAGCTATATGTTTGCTAGTTTGTTTTTTCATAAGTACTTTACAATTTATGCCTTAAAAAATGAATATATTATGTACTACATTGACTCGATACCTCTCAAAGTCTATGCGTTTGACTTTGACATGGCAGGGGAGACACTAAGTAAGTAGATTTATAAGATACATCTTTATTGTCCAGATCTGGCACATTGGTTTGGTGTTCCACTATTCATTTTCACAAATTCACACGGGCGTACACACACACATCCACCCACCCCCACCCCCCACACACACGCACACACACACACGTACACACACACACACGCACACACACACACACACAGACGTGTACTGACAGACACAAGACAAGTGGCCACCTGTCCCTCCCTACCTGGCACAAGTTTGACTCCGAACCACCAGGAGACAGGCAGGATGCCGTGGTGAAACACATGCAGGAACGACACCTGGTTGAATTTCTTCCTCATGATGAAAAACACCTGTGCATACAAAAAGAACAAAAGAAAAAAAATCATGCACTTATTTTGAGATAAGTTTCCTCATCTTTCTTGTACCCTGTCAGTTCACGAATCTACTCTTCGTGAAATTCGACAAAGGAGAAGTTTTGAAGACCCTGGAGGAAAAGTTGCGGGATGGAGTAGACAAGGAGACAGCAGAACACCACGCAATCATTAGGATGCGGAAAATGGTGGCAGAGAGAGAGAGAGAGAGAGAGAGAGAGAGAGAGAGAGAGAGAGAGAGAGAGAGAGAGAGAGAGAGAGAGAGAGAGAGAGAGAGGAGAAGGAAGAAAGGAACGATTATCTGGAAAGGAAAGACGTCGCCATAATCAAACAGCCGCTGGGACAATTGGTATGGATATCTTGCAGGCTTTAGTGCTGAGAGGAACTCAGCACTTATGGACCTGTCAGATGTGCAATGACGTTGTTGCCAAGGACAAATTTTAATAACTCTACGTGCTGTTGGGATAATTCTCTCCTCCAGCCCCCCCCCCCCTTTCCTTTCCCTACCAACGACTGATGCCCTGTTACTGTCATCTTGGTAAAACTCTTCCTCCCACTTTTCTGCTTCAAAAGATTGTCAGGCTTAATTGCTCCTTCTTTCCTACCAAACATCCATCGTCCTTATCTATCCTCTTTCTTTTCTCTGTATGTTACTCTCTAGTTAGTGCTCTTCTAATCTACGGTACTTATACTTATATGACCTATTTGTATTTCAAGTGCGGTAAAACTCTTACTAAAATGAAAGATTATCAATATATTTAAGGAATTGCCGTATCTGATGTTTCAAGCACTTAACATAGGTCCAGCAATGTTGGCGCATGTTCTGTAAGATTCTGAAGGATTTCAGGTTTAATCCATTAGATACTCACCGTGTCGAGAAGTTCAATGAACTTTGACATGTAACACAGCCAGCACACTCGGGCCATCTGAGAAAAAGAGAAGAGAGATAACAATTTATTCATATCCACAAAGAGAAATTTGCTGTGGCAAGGAAAATATGTACATGCACATGCCCTCATCAACACACATACACAAACACACACACACACACACACACACACACACACACACACACACACACACACACACACACACATACATACACACACACACATACACATACACCCTCTCTCTCAATTTCTCTCTCTCTCACACACACACATACACACACACATACACACATTACATACACAGATGCACACACATGAATACTCATTAGCTGTAAATACAAGTAAAGGTGAATTGAAAAGGCTAAATGTACATGTTAAAAGGAAATGATATATACTTTCTTCGAGAAATTTCTCAAGCAATCAGAGAAGACGAAATATTACAGATGCTTCTGTAACAGCAATACTGCCCCCCCCCCTTTTTTTATGAGGTGTCAATATTTCCAAGAGATCCCAGTCCAAAAGAATAGCCATATTGACTGCTCAGTATAAGCCTCCGTCCTACATCTCTTGTCAAAATGGTGTGTGGCAGTCTTGTATCCAAACCTTTTTAGGTAAAACAACACATACCAACATTCTAGACGCAAGGAGTTTTGTTTGACCCCATTTCTCATTCTGAGCCCATTGCTATGTTGAAAATACGTTTTAAAGGCCCAGCATCCAGCAAAAGCATATCAACACAAGTGATCAGAAACCATTTAAAGATTTTACTCCCCCATAACCAGAATCCTCATTTTCTTAACTCAGTAACCCCACCAGAGCAGTGCCACTGACTGAAGTTGCCTTTAGGCCATTCCCAAAGGGAGATATTAACATGTTCTTATGCACAGTAGAATTGTAAATGAGCTGATTTATCAATGTCATGCTCATACTGTGAAGGAACAACATAGGGGAAAATGCTGCTTTTTCTTTCTTCATCCTTACTATCGTTAATTTTCCTCTACTTTTTTGTATGTTTGGCATTCTCTTGTGTACAGCTATTTCCGGAGTGCCTTGATAGTCGAAGTAGACTTTGTGCTGTTGTAGTTAGAAAGGTGGGCAGAATAAGGTGTTGACAATCACCCCTGGGCGCTCATATGACCTTATGCAGTTTCTACCGCCGTAAAATCTTACTTAAACTAAAAAAACTCAGTAAACCCCAGAGGCCGCTCCCAGCAGCTCAGACCTCTTCCCACAATGACTTGCGACAGCTCCCAGTGCCCGGGATGATGCACACAGATACAATAATTATAGGGAGTTTCTTGACTCTCATCTTAACAGCTAGCCATAAATGTGAATACACGTTGTACAAATCTTCTCTGACAGAAGCTCCTCTTATCTTTTTGTTTATGTCCGTACTTTATCTTGAGTCAAAGCATGTGTTGTGAAAGCGAGTCGTAACAAAAACAGTTTAATTAATTCAGTCAAACCGTGGAAAACAATTTCGTAGTGAATTCCTTACATTCCTCTCTTGTCGATTAAGGCAAACTTCATCTTCGTCATATTACAGTCGAGCTCATTCAAACTGAACTATGAACGTAGTGAGCAGATTTTCAGGTACTGAATATTTTTCATATATATTGTATATATGCTGCTCAAAACAAGTTAGGGACCACAACATTTTTCACTATAGTATGCTTGAGACTGTGTGACAAACAAGTATTGAGAGGCTAGGTGAGTGAGTTGTTTCCATTCTAAGGAAGGGTCATCGATGTTTACAATGATGAACCGATTTGATAAATGTCGTTTAATTTACATTGCCTAGACAGGGTGAATGGGGCATCATTTTCTGTAAAATTGAACCTGTTTTTGACAATCAATCACGTGATTTTCAGTGAGTGGTATGGTTTAAAAACCAACTCAGGGGAATTCACGCTTCCTACACTAATGCTTGAGTGAGTTTGACGGTGCTAGGGGTATTTGTTGCTGGCACATTAAGCGATTTTTAACAATGCCTCCAAGAAGACGTCTGAGCAACATCGACAGGGGACGAGTCCTTGCCTGGCTCCACGTAGGGATTGATGTCTGTGAAGTGGCAAGACGGCTTGCCGTGAGTCACTCAATGATCATCAAACTGAGAGAACGGGTTTCTGCATCTGGAACTGCTGTTGAGCTAGGGCGGTCCGAACGTCCACGTTGCACCACACGACGAGAGGACCGGGCAATCGCCAGAACAGCCCTGGCAACTCGAACCTGTACTACCTGTCACATCAGACAGCAGATGGTACATCTAGGCAACGTTGAAATCAGCGACCAGACCATTAGAAACCGGCTGCATGAGATTGGTCTACGCTCCAGACGACCAGCAGTCCGGGTTCCACCGACACAAGCCCAACAGATTGCTCGCAGAACCTGGTCCGCCCAGCACCTTAGGTGGACACGCCAGCAATGGTCTACTGTGCTCTTCACGGATGACTACAGGTTCAACGATGGCAGGATCTGTGTTTGGAAGCGCCCTGGTGAACGCTTCCACGACGACTGTGTTCAGGAACATGACCGGTAAGAAGGAGGCTCCGTTATAATGTGGGGTGGGATTGTACTCAATCACCGGACCCCCCCCCCTAACCCCCTTGCATCGCATTTAAGGCACTCTGACGAGCATCCGCTACAGGGACAAGATTCTCCGCCCATTTGCAATTCTAGCTCTTCGAGCGATACTCCAGGACGACAACGCCAGACTTCACCGCGCTCGAGTGGTGGATGACTTCCTGCAGCAGCGGCACGGGACCGGCCAGCCCGATCACCGGACCCTAGTCCCTTTAAATACCTGTGGGATGCTCTTGGGCGCCGAGTAAGAGACCATCAGCCAAGTAAGAGACCCCAAACAATGTGGATGAACTCTTTAACATTTTGGACCAAGAATGGCAAGCCATTCCACAAATGTCATCTCGAATCAGTCCATTTGACAAAGATGCAATGACTGTTTTTTTGGAAATGGTGGCCACATGCGATTTTCAGCCCTAATCGTTTATGACGGCTGTGATGTGAATTTTAAAAACATGGGTTACCTCCTTCAACATCTGAAATTACCACGTTTTCCTTTTAAAAATGTGCAAAATGGCGTGTGCGAATGGTGATATGATGAATAAAAACCCCTTTCAAACAATTTTGAACCGTGTCCTGTTTTTCAGTTTTATGTACTATGTGTGGCTTTAAGTGGTCCTTAACTTATTTTGAGTAGTATATATATATTCGTTGCTTATTCGTTGCACAAACAAAGTGAAATTTTTACAAAACAAAACGACGATTTTTGTATCCTATCGATGTCGCTGCGTGTGTGCTATGCCAGTGCATGCTCAATGAGTTTTAACCTGCATTCTATAACTATCTTAACACTCTCATCTACACATTTTAAATAGTTTAGGGGGCAGGCTTCTGACCCTTCCTGTCAGAGCCAACCCAGACTGAGAGGATACAGCATCAAAGCAGAAAGACCGAGATACTCGACAAAAATTTCTTCTACTTCGGAATCAGACTCAGGCCTCCTGCATGCGACAATAAACGTTTAACCTCTACACCACTGAAACCGATTTCTATAAAAGGGACGACATCTCGGCAGTTGAAGAAGGACAATTACATTGTATTAAAAAAAAACACGGCTAAAACTTGCATCTTACCCTAAGGGCCTTTGGAGAGTTGGAGTAATCGACGGGCTGACACCCTAGGCTGTACCCTGTCAACCAACCTGCCATGAGGAACTGGGGAAACAGATCAAAACATTCAATGTCTTTCTTTAAAAAAGATTCCGACTCTGCCTGTCAGGGCCAACCCAAGCTAAGATGGATACAACACCCCAGCAAAAGGATCGAGATCATCATTATCATCCTCATTAGGCCACGAGCAAACCCTTTCCACTTTCCCCTATCCTATGCAACACTCCAGCAGAAAAACTGAGACACTCAGTAACAAATTTCTCTCCACTCAGGAATCGAACGCGGGTCTCGTGCTTACGGCAGTGAAGCAATTAATATCCTCGAGGCCCCACACCACGTACGCTGGTGTGTCTTTCTCTAATTTCATTTGAGGGCTATTCCATAAAATCAAGGCTGGAGTGACACACGTTCTAAGCAGTGAAGGATATTTTTTTTCAAATTTGTTCAAGGCAGCCTTCCAACACCTGTACCTGATAATCTTTACAATAATAGCTTACCCCATAGAAATTGTAGCCTGATAATCCATACAATTATAGCTTACATAGAACATGTAACCTGATAAACCTTACAATAATATCTCACCCCATAAACATGTAGCCTGATAATCCTTACAATAATAGCTTACCTCATAGAACATGTAGCCTGATAAAGCAACCAAGGCGAGATTATAGACAATGAGCACAGGCTTCATCTTCACCGGTTTGCGATTCTTCATGAAGGTCGGAGACATCAGCACAAAGATGAAGTAGGCCATGGAGATGATGAAGCTGGGCATTGGAGAGCTCATCATGAACCAGTTGTCTACCCTTGGGTCTGATAAAAAAAATAATGGGTGAAGATTGACAAAATGATTACAAATAAAAAATACACATTACTGCTCCCCGTGGGGGGATTTGGGTTACAATGGCAAACATACATACTTAAATAATATTATTACATATTGCATTCAAACACATTTAAAACTAACAAACAAAGAGTACCAAATCCACAATATTCCACCAATCTGGGCAAACTTATAAACATGCCATTGCCGGTTCTCATTGTGCGTTGCTTTACTTAGAGGTGCTGACTACTGAAAAAAATCCTTAATTTACCGGGGCCCGTTAAAACAAGGGTGGTGGACACTCAAAATCTATGGATCATAATAAAGTCTACTAAGGTATCTTGTATCATGACTTTTGTTTATATAAAGTGCAAAATTTGACGTGCACATAAAGATTAAACTATGAATAAGTATTAAATATATGGCAGGGGATTATGACAAAATTCTGATAATTTCAGAAATGCGAATTTCCCGATTTATCCAGACAAGCAGCATCTCTGGTTTAATTGTACAAGGCAAAGAGAGACATTTCCCCACGATGGCAGCTACTATTTGCTGTAAAAAAGGCGTCATGTAGCGCTGAAATACAATAAGATAAGATAATATAAATCCTTGTTGTCCAGATCCTAGCACATTGGTTGGTTTGGTGTTTCACCACGTACACACATACACAAACACGCACACACACGCATACACATACATACACACGCACACACACACACACACATGCACACACACGAAGGCTTACAGTCCCATGCATAAAATAAATTAGCAGTAATATTAAAAATAATAATGTTAAGCTAGATACATAGTCAGTATTCTGATTGTAACTCAATTGTATTTTGACGCATGCTCTAAGGTCATATAAATACTTGTAACAAGATGGTTAAGATGGAAGAATTTTGATGGATGATGGTAAAAATGACCTTCTGTATCTTTCTATGTAACAGACCATGAGCCTAGGTCTTTTACTTCTGATTTTAAAATTATTTTTTTTTTTGGAGAACAAGAAATGTTCATTGTCCAAAAAGATGGAATTAATATGTTAGTGCGAGCTGTAAAGTATGGTAAAGTATTCATCCAACCTGACATTGACACTGTGGAAGACATCCACCTGTCTAAGACAGCCCCCCCCCCCCCCCCCCCCCCCCCCCCCCCGGGCAGTTTTACTGACTGGAGTTGTCTTTAGGCCATTTCCAAAGGTGGGGGGGGGGGGGATATTAACATGTTCTTATACACGGTAGAATTGTAAATGGACTGATTTATCAATGCCATGCTCATACTGTGCCGAAACAAAATAGGGGGGAAGCTGCTGCTTTTTCTATTCTTATCCTTACTGTCATCATTTTTCCTCTACTTCTTTTGTATATTTTTCACTCTCTTGTGAACTGCCGGGGTGCTTTGATAGTCGAAGCAGACTTTGTGCTGTTGAGGCTACAGAGGTGAGCAGAGTAAGCCTGATTCCCCGTTTGGACTTCTCTGTTGACATCTATCCCTTGGAGCTCATATGACCTTCTGCAGTGTCGAGCGCCGTAAAACCTTATTAAACAATGTCTAAGACAGCCACTTTTCTCCTCTACAATGGGTGGCCGTCTTAACCTTTTAAGCCCTGACCTCCTGAACCTACCACACCACTCTGCCTGAGCTCCTTAACAAATCATGCCCACATAACATTTGCATCATCGTCAGAATCGCATTCCATATCCCACCCAAGGTAGTACTCCTTATTATGAGCATCTTATTCAGAAAGATCTTCAAAATAATCAATACTGTACAGTGTAGCAAACACTGTATTCCGTGCACGTTTTGTCCCGGATGGGCCGTTTTGGGGATGGTCTCGCTCATCTGTGTACCAGTGATCGGTATACCCGTGACAAGGGTCAAAAGGTTAAACAATTTCGACAATACTTGATAGAAAGTGTAAAACAGAGATTTGTTTCTTAGATCTCTTCTTGTGGATAATAAAAACCCTATCATCGATGTGGCACGTTCCCATATATCTAAAAAAACAACAACTCCCCCCAAACCCCCCCCCCAACAAAACAAAACCAAGAATCTACGTTATTTCAGCACTTAAGCACACCTCCATTTTCCAGGACGTAATCGTAGCCTTTGATGGCCTTTGTGATGAGGGTATCTTGTTTTGCCATTGTGCTCGCTGTTGCGTAAGTCCCTCAATGCTTTCCTTTATCTGAAAAAGACAAAAAGATAGAAAAAATGTAAAAATCAGAAATGATGGACCTATTTCACTTGACTCATGTCACGGTAACTGAGACAACACAAAAAATCATTATTTTCAAAGTAAATTTCAAAGTAAACGCAGGTTACAATTCATGTTATAGAATGGAGTCTGCTTTTTAAACTGAAATCTGTGGGATCATTGGATTTTCTTCTATTTAATCGTGTTTTCATTTTAGAGATGTTGCTCATAAATAGAAGCAAAAATAATTAGGGACTAATACTTTAGTATAACGCTGTTTTCGGATTAACTGTGTTTTATGTAAGCACACTCCATTGTATTATAAAGTAAGACATAAGACTCTTGGACAAGGGTGAGGAAAAGGTTCAAAATTTGAGAAAGACCAGGCTGAAGTCAAGGAATCGAATATTGGTTAGAAAGGACAATGGAAACGGCTGATTCTCGTTTGTTAAGGTCTCTCCAAAACCCTAGCATCGGTAAAACATTCAAGCAAAAAAACACCAAAAAAACAACAACAAAAAAACAGGCGTGCTGCGAAACTGGAGATCTTCTAACAATCCATGAATGGAGATTATATATGCTGAAAATAGACATGACGGTCAGATTTGTAATTTTCAACTCGTGTCATTTTCTTCAAGTTTAACTAGGTTTTTTTTTCTTCTACCTTTTCAAAATGTTATAAATTCTACAAACTCAAGCAATGAATTTCACATAGTTATAATTTCCATTGCAAAAACATTAGAACTCTGCAACTCATTAAACTTAGTCAGCAAAATATAATAGTTCCTGTACCCAAGAAGGGATACTCTCATTCTTTTAAAAGGCCTATACTCAATGTCAAGATTACATTTCTAAAACATGCTAAGATAATAATGAAAGACAAAGCCTAGCAGTAATATTGCACCAACGCCAAAAGACAAGATCTAGTTTTGGTAAATTTTTACTTTCCGCACACAGATGCACTGTTTCTGAGGGTCAAACTGCTACAGAACACAATAAAACCATTTAAACCATCGTAAATCAATTGTTTCCAGAAAATTCCAAACCATATGTGGGCCAAAATAGTGAAATCGAGAAAACCGACTTTTTCCCGCCTATATGACAATTTTATCCATTTTTTTCGGGCACAGCACCTTTCACATCTACTAAAAAAAAACGCATGTATGGGAATTCTGTGGGTTTTTTTGTTTTGTTTTTTTAGAAAAAAATTGTTGATTAAAGACAATAAGCGGTTTCCAAGGACGCTCAACTATGGGTGATACCAAACTTTGGCAGCCATTTTCTGGCTGATCTTAACTCTAACACCAGGTGATGCCCCACCCCACTTTCAATAACAGATATATCAACTTCAATTCAAGATGGACGGGTGTTGTTGTTTTTTTCATCTGAAACAAGACTAATGAACAAGATTGAAAAAAGATACCGATAACTCCAATTTTTTTCTGTTTAAAAAAATGACGAGCGCTTGATTCCACCCCATCTTGCCACATATTGCAAAACATTAAAATGGGTGCCGTGTTGAAATACAGGGGGCACAACCAATACCCCCTAAAACCCCTCAAAACCCCTCAAATAAAAAAAATAATAAAATGAAATTACCAAATATTTCAAAATCATGTTAGGGGCCTAAATCAATCATACACGACAGGTATAACGTCCAAATCCAAGCAAAACAGAGGGGGAAAATGAACGCAAAATTGCTGTTATACTACTATACGATTACATCTCTTAGTTTAGTTTTAGTAAGGTTTTACGGCGTTCGCAACTGCATAAGGTCATATGAGCGCCAAGGGGTGGATGTCAACAGAAAAGTCCAAACGTGGAATCAAGCTTACTCTGGTCACCTCTCTAGCCTCAACAGCACAAAGTCTGCTTCGACTACCAAGGCACCCCGGAAATAGCAGTTCACAAGAGAGGGACAAACATACAAAAGAAGTAGAGTGAAAATGACGATAGTAAGGATGAGGAAAGACAAAGCAGCAGTTCCCTTTATGTTGTTTCGGCACAGTACGAGCATGACATTGATCCATCAGCCCATTTACAATTCTACTGTGCATAAGAAAGTGTTAATATCCCCACTTTGGGAATGGCCTAAAGAGACTTCAGTCAGTAGCACTACTCGGGAATGGGGGGAGGGGGTTACATCTCTGAGCCTGAGGCAATGAGACATGAGTGAAATAATACTAGGCTATACCCTACCCCATTCTAAATTAGACTGAATACTAGACTAGATCTTGAATCTGAATATTGGTTTCTGAAGGTACAACAAGATCCAGCCAGATTAAAATCGAGAGATTAAAGCAAAGATCTAGTCCTACACTTGTACTTTAGTAACTCTAGTTCCCGGTTCTAGATTCCACTCATCATCGTCTAACTTAAACACGAACTGTGACGAATAGGGTCAATAAAGAACCATTGGATTAAATAATTCACACGTTACTGTTTGAAAAGTTTCGATCTACATCTAAGGAGTCGAACGAGTTCTGTTATCTTAAGTAGTATAACCCACGCCCACATGATTAGAATGTATGCATTCAAGATAGCAACCGCAAACCATTCCAATATTCAGGCCTTTGGACGAGCCGCAGTTCGTCGATTTCTATTTCAGACTAAAAATACGGATCTCATATTCCTGAAAAAAAATCTTTATTCACGTTCACAATAAACTCTTAAAATACACATAAATGAGCTGTTGTGTGTGAACATACCTTAAAAAGATGTATCCTATACTCTAAACAGACGGTGTATAGTCTTTTTTATCCTTTTTAGAAAACACACATATATATATAGGTCTAGCACCCGCCAGCATTCCATCAAAATTGAACCTTAGGCCTACGATCACT